GCCAAGGCCCCTTGACCTTCCAGGGAAACAGCGAGTATTTATGTGGAGACAGTGGACTGATGATCTTAGCTGTGTTGACAGGGATGAGTTATAAAGTGAAGCAGGCATAAGTGCAGTTTTAATGAGGCATAGGATTTCCAGGATTTAGGAGTGTTTTTAGCACCTTTCCCCTCTAAGACTGCTCATCCCCACACTTCATCTACTTCCAGATGGGTACCAGTACCACTCAATGGGCTGTGCTGAGAGCTACAGCGCTGGGAGGTTATGGGAGCCTGCCATGGACTGGTCTGGTTCTGCTGTAGCCCAGAGCAATGTCAGGGGCTCATCCAGGGCCCTGTCCTTGTCTACCACCCTCCCCTACAGGACTGCTCTCTCCCTCCTCTCACCCATCTATTTAATACCCTGGAGAATTGGGTCAACGGCTTGGGGGCCCTCAGGGAGGGGGAGCTGGACATGGTACATCGGCTGAAGCCTTGGCAGAGCTGCTCCTGCACTCGCAGGGCTTTGCCAGAAGGATCCACAGAGCCTAACAGAGGTAGAATTGGCCTCAAATTTTAAAGCTGTCTGGAGTGCATTGATAGTCCTGATTCACAGTTCCCACTGTGGTTCCCACCCAAACCCATGAGGAGAAGGAATATTTGGGGAAGGAAAGAAAGAGCAGGGGAAGGAGTCAGTGGCTGAGATTTCCACTTTTTTACTTGTGTCCATCCTTGGTAGGATAAACAGACTATTTTTTTATGTAGGCAAAAATCTAATACAAATCAAACATTTCCTTGCTTGCATGAAGGAGAATGCAAAACCAACTTCAACACACTGAAATCTGCCTGCAAAAGAAAATTAAGCTTAATAATTATGCAATTATTGCATTCTTTTATTTTCAAATAAGGACAGGAAACATGAATTAAACCTGTAAAAAACTTTTATGTGCTTCTCTTGATAAATAACCCAAGTTTATGACTAATTCTATTCTGTGACCCAGTGAAGACTCCTTACTGTTAGCAGATGAACTGATAACCAATGGATTCATTGTACTTTCTTGCTGTGGTAGGAGAGTAAAGCAAAAGAAACCCTTCACGTTGCATTTTCAGTCTCTAAGAATTAGCTGAATTGTCATCCCAGCCTCCACCCAGTCAGAAGAAAGGCTCTCTTACATCTAGGGGGTAAGAGCATTCAATTAAAATTAGTCTGATTATTGAACAGACCTTTTCCACAGTGGTCCAGCTCTGCTCCTGATGAGTGATGTACTACTTTGAGTCAGTAAACTTGCACAGGGGGATTTTTTTGTCAATAGATGTATTTTTTTGTTGAGTATTTCACAACCAGAGAAGCATGACTTATCTCTCAAAGTTGTCTTTGGGAGAACAATTAAGTTATTTAAGATGAGCAAGGCAAGCTGCTGACACATTTCAGTTTTGAAGGCACTGCTGTTCAGTTTATGCAGACAAAGCCTGAAACGTGAAAGCTGGCCTCCTGCCTTTGTTTTCTTCTAACCGACTGCCGGAGAAGCAGATTTCCCTGTTCCATGGCTAACTAGATCTGCCTGGTTGGCTTAACCAGCGAGCACATTCCTGCACTTCAGGAAGAACACTCTGGGCTCATTACGAGCTACTGGGCTACAGCCTGACACTAAGAAAACAGATTTGTTTTGGACAAGCTGCTCTGACATGGAGGTGCCAGGGTGAATAACCTTTGGGGGAAAAAAAATCAAAACAAACCAGCTTAAATCAAAAACCTGCCTCCAAGAGCAAGATGAATAATCTGACAAATGAATGGCTCTGTATTTTATATCAAAGCACAAAATAGCTAGAAGTTGCAGTGATCTGACTCATGAGCAGAAATAGAGTGCTGGGGCTGGCTTGAGCTGTCGCTACCACCAGCTGCCTGCCCCCACCGCCAGAGAATGGGTGGCTCAGATGCTGCTTCTTAAGCAATTCAGCCACAAATGGCTACAGCTAAGCATTTTAAGGGAAACGTGTCAGCGCTAGTTTATAGCCTCACTCCTCAAGATAAACCTTGAAACGGTCCTGGGTTGCCACAAAGCCTTTCAGCTGTTGAGGCAGGAGGAACAGGGGAGACACCTTGCCAGGCATCCCATTGGAATTTGCAACAGGCACAAGTTAGCACTCGGCAAAGCAGCTTGTCCCAGCCAAGCAGCAGTCCACTGCCAAGCAACGAGTTGACAGAAGCCCCCACTCCCCACCCCCCTTATCAGCAAAGAAGCCTTTTTGAAACGGGGAAATTTTAAGCCGTGACCTATTTAAACATCCTGCCCCATCACTGACCAGGAGCACAATTCTGCAACAAATCCCACAGCACGCTGCTGCTGCTATGTTTCCCCAGCTGCTCTCTGTGACAAGTTCTTCGACTCAAATAGCAGTCCTAATCCTAGCGTAAAACCCCAGCCCAGCTCCGTCAGATAAACACACATTGTTTCACCTGGTCTTCTGTGAAAATGAGACTGTGGCAAGTGCCTTATCACTGCTCTTTTCTCTACCTCTTCTCAGCTCCTCCTCCCACCCATAACTTTCTAACGTGTTTATTGTGTAGAAGGAGAAAGCTCAGAAAAATCAAACTCCTACAAACGCAGGGGGAAGGAGAAAGGGTGGTTGGATATGTGCACCCATCCCCACTGAGGGTACAGTTACACGGTGGCTTCAATCACTCTAAGTTGGAGTTGCCGTAGCAATGCCTATATTATCCTGTCCTCCCTGCCTTCTATTAGCAGAAAACAAGGGACGTATATGCAAAAAGCCACTACCTGGGACTGATTCTGCTGAAAACCAGCACTACCTAAAAATGATTCATTTTGGCTCATTGAGCTCCATGCAAAGGCTCGCTGTACACCTCGAACCACGGGAGGGCAAAGGAAAGAGCCGTCAGGATTTTGCAGGACTGGGGGAGAAGAAGCAGATATGTTGCTCTGTTGATTTTGGGACAGCTGGATTCCTGCAGAATGAATTCTTAGCAGGGTAACAGCAGTGCCGAGAAGCTGCCTCCGCAAGGGGAATCCCATCCAGCTCCCCTCTCAGCTCCATCAGGTTAATTGCCACTCTGTGCTCCCTGCCTGATGCCACCGTATTGGGCCACGGCTTGTCCGGGCTGCAGGCAGGAAGTGCATGAAGGTACGAGCTCTTGTGCTGGCAGCTGCATTCTTCTTAAAACTAGGGCAAAAACTGCAACTTGAGGGTTGGGGGCATTATGTACACGTCTGGAAAAAGATGCTTCAAGTTCATTCAGCGCTATTTTGACACTGAATTATGCAACATTCTGCTTTGTTATATCAAAACTCCTGTTGAGACCTTAACCATTATTCAAAGAATGCACTAGCTGAAAATATCTCCTGAAAGTTTAGAGATGTGGGGGACGATGCCCAGGTTCTGAAGTCATGAATTTGTATTGATTCTCCCCCTGTAAACCAGCATCCTTAACCGGTGAGATCTGCAGTCCTGGGGACGTCTTACACCCTTTCTGCATCATTAATGCATTGCCTGCAGTAGTGTTTGTTGAAAATTCGACACCGTTATTGATGCACCATGGTACATTTAGCGGTTGGGAAATGGCTTTAATCAAGAGTTTTCTTTACAAAGGTACTTTTAAATACCTTGTGATATGTAGAGTCATACACACACATTGCATGGCAGCTATTACACAAGAAGGGTTCTGGCCACGATGCCTCTTTTCCAACTCCTCAAACAAACAAAAAGGAGAACTGATGAAACATCATGCAGTTTAGGAGAGCTTTAAAGGGCAGTGGCTGCTGAATTGCCTTTGCGCTCCCAAGGTCCGCAGAGGGAAGAAGCATCAGGTGTGCCTCCCCATCCTCCACGGGTGCAGCCGACCGGCAGGGTCAGATGAGATGCCTGCCCGGCGCAAAACCGGAGGATGCGGAATATTTGAGAGTGGTTTGGCCGCTGGCAGTCAGCTGTGGGAGCCGCAGGAATCAGGATGCAGGAATTTGGGTCTTTGTTTCAGGAACATTACTTAGAAAGTATCGGAGGCAGCCGCAGGGCGGTCCGAAATCCCTCATCTTATCTACTCTCGTCGCAGGGGGCTAGACAGGGGAGATGACGGCACCATCCCTCCTGGCTCCGGAGGGCCGAGGGCTCCTGGCCGCCTTGCCGGGGGTCCCATCCCTTCCCAACCCGGGCATTGCACGGCAGCGTCCAGAATCCAGGTCCCCCACGCCCCTGCCTGTGCGCCCAGCGGCGCGGGGCGGTGGGCGACAGTGGCAGCTGCCGCACACCGCAAGCTGGGCAGGATTTTTTTCTTATTTCTTCCCACCTTTTCCTCATCTGCGGACCGTGCACTGCCCGCACTGCTCATTGTAGAGCTGGGTCTTTAACTTCGCACGGGGAAAGAAGCAAAGAGAGAAGTAGCAGGGACGGGAGGAAAGGAGCAGGGTAGCCGCGGCTCGGGGGGCTGCAGCGAGGGCAGCCGGCATCTGCCCCCGCCCGCGGCGCGGGGCGTCCCGGTGCCCCCGGACTTACTTTCTGCGGGTCGGCGTAGGTGCCCAGCCCCAAGAGCGGGATGCTGTTGCCGTCGCTCAGCGGAATGCGGTGGCTCTCGGCGGTGAGGTTCATCGTGCCGGCAGGTAGGGCAGCCCCGGTCCTGGGGCTGATTCCGCAGGGGGCGGGAGCCGCCGCTTCGCAGCCAACACAGCGGCCCCTGGCACCGGCACCCACCGACGGCTGGACGGAGCGAACCGGCGGTGGCTCTGGGGGGACCCAGGGACGAACTGCCCTCTCCCGCCGCCGGGGAGCGCCTTTTTGGGGGGCCGAGCCACGTGTGCCCGCGGCTGCCCTGCACCGCGCCCCGCCGCGCACCGCCCCGGCCCCGCCCCGGCCCCGCGGCCACCGGCTCCCCGCGCACCGCCCCGCGCGGGGACGGCCCCGCCGCGACCCCCGCGGGGGGCTCCGGCGGGGACTGCTCCGTGCTAGCCTCAAGGCGGGCCGTGCGCCATCAGCACCTTGAGCGGCTTGGGGCGTTGCTGCCCAGTGGCCAGGCAGTCCTCGAGGGCTGCCCTACCCGGAGCTGCCGACAGCAGGGCACCGGCTTCCCGTGGTTTGGGGTGGCAGGTCTTGGAAGTTTCCCCACAGAGGTGTAGAACAGTTTCCACCTCTCCATTCCAGTGGCTGAAACCCACTACTGTAGAGGCAAGGAGGGAAGGAAGGAAATCCCAGACTGGTGAGTAGTTTCTCCGCTTCAGTCTGAGTCCCAAATTACAGTGAATGGACTCAAGTTCCTCACGTTCTGGTTCTGCTCCACAGTGCAAAAAAATGTATGTATTTCCTAATGCTGATAGCCCAGAAGGAGACAATATCCTTTATAAAATTCATCACATTCTTACTGTATTTTCTGGTCCTCATAAAAAGCTCGGGGCCATGCTTTTACACCACTGTGAGCCACCTGCTTTGTGACATCTATGCTGAGTTCTCCCCATTTAATCTGGAAGTGCCTGGTCTTTTATGCCTTCCTAGGTCAACCTGTAATTAAGCCCTCAGGGAACATTATTCCTGAGCCATAACAATGGTCTTTGCCTGGCAGTTTATTTTATCTCCTCTAATACCCTACTTGGCTTTCTGTGCATGGTAATAGTTCATCAGGTTATGCAATTCCAAGAGGGGTTAATGGATCCATCATGATATGTTATCTCTGCAGTTCTTGAAATCAACAGGTGTGCACTAGTTTGCATTCAGGGAAAGGGTTAGTTGCTGCTAGGGCTGGGAAACTGCGTAGACAATACCCTACCATGAGACTCTTTCAGTGTTACTGGTTAGATACCTGCAAGGGTCTCCTGAGAAGATGGAAGAAGTGCCACTTGCACATTTAGGAATGTTCCAAGAAGTTCAGGACTAAGTGCAAGCCAACTAGATCCCAACCCAAAAATTTTTAGTTAGGATGTCCTGCAGGACAAAAGTGGTGTGTGTAAAATGCTCGTTGGAAAGTGGGCAGAGTGTGACTTGAGGTTTTCTGAGAGCCTGTGCTTTATGTGGACAGCACAGTGCAAAGAGCTACCTCTAAGGTGGCTGGGTTGCATCTCAAGGGGGGGAAGCTGAGGCAGACTGCAGCCTGGCTGTAGTTACTGCTGATCTGCCTAGACCCTGTCTGTGTGTTGCTGGGAATTGTGGGTACCTGCAGGAAGAAGGAAAACCAGTGACTACCTCCATGCTCCCCTGTTGTTCCCATGTAACTGATTACCACTTTCTTACTACAGGAGCAGCTCCGATCTGCTTTCTCTGTGTCAAGCACACTCTAGGACAGGTTGATGCCAGCTGCACGTCTAAGGTATAGCCATCACTCTATTGTATTTCCAACGAGGAGCAAACACATGGAGAGATGGAAATCGGATGAGTAGAGAAGAGTCTGATGTGGCAGAGGACATTCAGGGACCTACTTATTTCCAGTCCCATGCTAGCATTCCATGAAGAAGCTCTGCTGCCCAGCGGCGGATTCCTATCCCTTAACTTCTATGATCCAAGTCTGCTCCACAACCAGCTTTTTCATAATTCCTGTTAATCCAGCATATTTTGGGGAGTTTTAAGGCACAGTTTTTGCTTGTTTGCTTTGGGCTTGGAGCACATGCAGTTTACTCATGTGCTCTGGCAAGAGCCCGGAGTTGCGCGTGATCCCGAGCTAAGCAAAGCACGGCTGTGTCTGCAGTGCCTGTCCTGGGGACAAGAGCAAGTGCAAGGAGCCTCTCTGGCAGGAGTACATGAGCCTGATATGTGATAGCCTTCAACAACTGTGAAAGAAGGATTGATGGACTTGCCATAATTCACAGAATGGGGGAGCTTGGGCAGGAGAAGGACTTGAGCTTCTAGGAACAGGCAAGCAAAGTGCTCCATCACGGGCAAGGCAAGCCAGCCACACCAGGCACTCCTGCCCTGCCACAGGCACGAGCCCCCAGCGCTCATCAGAGTAACAGGCAAAAGTTGCCTCACTTCCAGCTTCACTGCTAGACTGGTCCTTACAAAACTAGCCAATGTGCTTGCCCCTGAAATTGAAGAGAGGCAGAGGGTTTTACAAGTCCTTCCCTCCACTCCTACACCATAACTGACAGCAAATAGTGTGAACACCTCTTACACATGAGACTTTTAAAGCCCCATAGCTGCTCTAGCTCCCTACCCTATTGTTCCAGTGCCTTTGCAGATTTTATATGAAACCCCAGAAAACAGATAGAAAAATCCTTTCTTCCCCTTTTACTAATCCAAGTTGCTAACTTAAAAAAAAAAAAAAAAACAAGAAAAGCTTATTTCATAGAAGCTAGAAATACTAGCAGGTTTTCAGTTGATAATGAATATCCTTTAAAGAACAAAGGAAGCCGAATAATGGAGCCTGGAGCCTGTCACATGTAATTCTTGTTAGTAATAATTTCTGTTAGCTGTTCAGGAAAGCGCAGTTCTCAATTTCAGAGGATAAATGACTTAACCAGACTTTTTATGAGGACACGATATCTAGCAACTCTGACTGCAAAACAATGTAAGTTTCTAGAGGCAAAGCATTGGCTGCTGCTTGTTGTCGATCAGTAACAATTCAGGAGCTTTTATAAAATGCAGATGTGATCTCAGTTCTTTCTCTAGGAAACAAAAACAATGAAGTTTCAGCCTGGCCTGATTAGCAAATAATGAGTGCTGCCATCCTATCAACATAAGTTTGCCTTCTCTAGTGAAGCTCTTAAATCACACAAAAACACCTTCAGAAGCAAATAAGGTAGGTTTGTTATTCATGTCTTGGTGGTACAGGATTTTAGAATTGCATTAGTCATCTCAGACCTAAGTAAAGAGCAGGGATTTCAAAAGCAACATCTTATCTGTGTTCTGTTCCCCACCCCCTGAATCTCCACACAAATAAGGTAGATTAAAAAAAATAAAAAGAAAAATTAGATCTAAGTTTTTTGCAGGAAAGTGGGTCAGACATTTGAGGATTCTTGCTGTTAAAAACTTGCTGAAATCTCAGGTAAAGAAAGTACTTAACGGCCTCCTTACCTGGGCAAAACTGGTAAGGGATCTTTTAAAGAAGTAAAGAGGTCACCCTTTTACTCATTTTATCTCAAATTGCTAAGTATCCTGGGAACAGGAGAAAATGTGTAAAGCCTTTAAAAATAGAATCCCCAGTTCTTGGAAGGAGAAAGAGTCATTGATTGAGAAAGACTGGCCTTGTCATCATTTAGATTTTGTGTTTCCTTGGACATTCATGGGTTGTCCCCCTCCCTCCCCCTTTTTTTTAAATTTTGTTTTCAACAAGAGAACTTGTTAAAAATAGAATTCTCCTGAATTTTCTTGATCTAGGTGTGTTACCCATTGCAGATTAGATTAGTGAGATTCTAGAGGTCAGTGACCTGTAGTGCCTAAAAATGAACTTTTTTTAAAAAGGAAAATTGAAAGTACTTTTATAATACTTGTATTTGTTCAATAAAAAGTGCATATTGCTAGAGTTTCTATTTTCTCTATGAGTCGTGCTCCACTCTGTGTAATTATCTGCTAGAATGCATACTCTGCATGTGTTTTCAGTTAAAATTTCTTAAAACACGGTCGTAAAGTCTGCATATTTTCAGCCTAGTCCTTTAATAACTCACATAAAATAGCATGTGTCCATCCTGCATGTGGAATATCTACTGATGTATTTTCAACTATTTAGCTTAGAGATTTTGGTAGCATGTATCATGACTAATATTTATTTTCTATTTTGCCATTACCTGTAATAAACAAACACATATAAAGGAAAACTTCTAGCTTCATTTTTAAACTCTAAGAAATAAGGTGTGTGTATGCTTAGTAGAGGGCTCATACATGAAGTGAGATTGCTTTTTTTTTTTTTCTGACTACTTCTGTCACAAATGATACAAGCTGACCTGGAGAACACTTCTAGATTATCACATCAATAATCATCACATATATCCCTATATACTTCTTGAGGGCACCTGATGAGTGGTACCTTGCACTGCCTGCATGATTCCTTCATTTAGTGACAAAGGGATTCCTCATATGGAAGTATTTGTGATCTTTTCCCTTTGGTGATGTTTGTTGCACAATGAGGCTGATCACTTCCAGGATAACAGCCTGGGCTTTGTTGGGAAGTGTGATGTAATGGGCATTCCTAGCAGATTTTATGCAAAAACCTTTTTTTTCCCTAGCTCCCACTGGTCCCTGTAAACTTCTTGGCAAACAATGAAGCACTTAAGTGATATGTTCTTTTTTTATTTCAATAACTTTTATGTCTGCTAAGGACTAGTTCTTGGTAAATTCTTCTTTGAAAGACCAAAGATTGCTTTCAAATTTTCAAGACTTACAGCTCGGCATTGATGGGGATATGATAGTACACTTTTAGTGAAACTCTTCACTGCAAGTCCTGCAAAGCAATATCTGTCCTCCAAAGACCTCACCTGGTCTGACTTTTCCAGCACTGATACAGCACTTCTGCTGGATCCCTAAGGAGATCATGAGAACAGGGAGAAAATGTGCCTACCACTTGTGCCTGTGGAGAGATTTAGGAAAATACTTGATAGCTGGGTCACTTATCCCTTCTGCTTCCTATAAATGCTCTGTGGCTACAGCTGCGATAAAAGAGAAATTCCGATGTATCCTTGATGCTGTTCCATTGCTTCTAGTAATACTGGAAAAGTGAAGCCACTGCAAGCCTTTGATCGCTCCTGGGGTACAAGAAGAATGCCAGCAGCTGCTCCAGATTATGCTCCCAACACTCCTGTAGCTGTGGGGATGTGCTCATGCTCCACCAAGGCACAGGAGCTTCCCCAGGGACAGCCTCCCATGGCCGTGGCCATTCTGGTCTGTCCCTGTGCCACCTTGGGACAGCTACAGGGCGCCGGGCTGTGGCATTCTCTGGAATGCCACTGCCACAGTCTTTGTGCTGGGTGTTGCAGGGTGCTTCTTCAGGGCAGGTGGCTGTGCAAATTGCCAGAGCCTGCTCAGCAGTTGAACCTCCCTCTGGTTTAGGTTCTAGTTCCTGGCTGAAGCTGTGGTGGATGCTGTACCAGAAGCAGGAGCCACGCAGATAGTAGAGGAAGCAAAATCTCACAACACAGGAGCCAAATTAGCTAGGCTGTTTATACACCACCACCATGTTTCCCATGGCACAGCAGGAGAGGGGCCAGCACTAGCAATACAACCCTTAAAATGCACCCTTTCCCCTTTTGGTGTCCGCTTCAGGAGCTTGAGTTGCTCCATTAGCATCCAGGGAGTGTTACTTATGGGCTGAAAATCCCTGTGGAGGATGAGGAACTCCTTTGGAGGATCAGAAACTGCTGGGAAAGGGAAAGAGATGCTCAGTTTGAAAAGGTAATCCTCCTAATCCTTTGGAAAGGTAATGCTCTTTCCCAGTGTCATTTATACAGGCACTGTCTCATGAGCTTGCTCTCTTTTGGGCACTATGTTCATGCTGCAGTTTGGTGTTAGCAGGGCTTGTGGCAAACTGAGCCAGAAGCCAGCTTTATTTCCTCCTCCTGACACTCTGTTTACTGATTTATTACTTTTTTCTAGCAACAGTGTCTTAGTTTTTGCTCCTGACTGTCTGCTCTGGCACATAACCGACCTGGGAGCTGATGAGCGCTGCCTCTCAGATCCCCAGCCAAAGGTCAGTAGTTGCATGTGTTACTTATGGGCTGAAAATCCCTGTGGAGGATGAGGAACTCCTTTGGAGGATCAGAAACTGCTGGGAAAGGGAAAGAGATGCTCAGTTTGAAAAGGTAATCCTCCTAATCCTTTGGAAAGGTAATCCTCTAGTCCTTTCCCAGTGTCATTTATACAGGCACTGTCTCATGAGCTTGCTCTCTTTTGGGCACTATGTTCATGCTGCAGTTTGGTGTTAGCAGGGCTTGTGGCAAACTGAGCCAGAAGCCAGCTTTATTTCCTCCTCCTGACACTCTGTTTACTGATTTATTACTTTTTTCTAGCAACAGTGTCTTAGTTTTTGCTCCTGACTGTCTGCTCTGGCACATAACCGACCTGGGAGCTGACGAGCGCTGCCTCTCAGATCCCCAGCCAAAGGTCAGTAGTTGCATGGTGGCCTCTGGATTCCTTGGATGCCAACCCTTGTCATGTGGGGAGGCATTAACCTTTGGCCCTGAGTAAGTGTCCTCGTATCTCACCTCAGTTAGTCTGGCCTGCTATTTGATCCTGCCCAGTATAAACCCCTTTCCTTTGGCATCCTGCAAACCTTAGCCCTGTCTTGATGATTTCCATTCACCTGATGCTGGTGGGAGATACCCTGTGTGTTGCACCCAGGGCTGTGGCAGAAGCAAGAGAGTAAGCAGTGGCAGAAAGGGGCAGCTCGTGAAGAGCAGATTGTGTGTTCACAGCCCCTCCTGCATCCCAAGGGAGCAGTGGTGGTGCCTTCCTCTGTGTAACCTCTCGTTCTCATCCAGAGTAGGGATAGCTAATGTGGGAGGATACTGCCTGTGTCATGCAAATAAGGCGTTTCGAGAGTTTGAGGTTTGGGGATTTTTTAACGCCTGATTCATGGAGAGGGAGTCACTGAGAGTCCCTTACTTTGAAACAGGCTCTTGGGACAGACTTAGACTCATCACCAGATCTTAGCATGTTCAAAAAATGTGAGCTTTCTCTTGCCTCTTTTTAATGCAGAACTTGGTCAGGGGTTCACCTCAGTGCACCACCACTATTCCTGCCAACTCCCATAATTACTTGACATGTAACCTCACACACCTCCCTTGAGTCCATCTCAGGTCTGCACAGGCATTCTTAGTTCTGCTCTGATGAATGATCGTTTTACTTCCTTGCACTGGGTAAACAGCTGTTTTCCATGTTACCTGCTTTAGGAGCCTCACTGGCTTGTTGTTTCTTTCCTTGCCTCCAGCAACAAGCAGACACAAGTGATTAATTGCAGCAAGGCTGCATCAGCACCTTCTTGCAATCAGGATAACATGAAAAATACGCATCATTTTCATACAGCACACCACATGTCAATTTGCTGCAAGATGAAATAACAGGGAGCAGCCACTTGCAGTCTCTTTTCTGTATTTTTTTACTATTCAAAAGAATGGAAGCAACACAGGCTTGGAGATGAAGGTCTGTCCCAAAGTGGCCAGGCCCCTTTGGTTACAGCACTTCCAGCTTCAAGTCCCTGCTGAGGAATCTCTCCCTTTGAAGTACATCTCACTTGGGCAGGAGCCAATGTCATGAGGAGGAAACTATTAGCTTGTAAAGAGAACCCCACAAGTGAAGTCTAACCTCCTGCTTGTTTCTTTGCTTGCAGGTATTTCCTGT